TAGTTCAGTGGCACAGCTTCTGCCTGACAAGCTTGAGGTCCTGAGTTCAATTTCCGGTACTCCCCCACCAAAAAAAGAATTAGGTGACAGATGGGAACCTGCATGTACATCTGGCCCATGTCCAGTGCCCAGAGAGAAGCTGCCAACTACCACCCTCCGACTCTTCCTCCCACCACCTGTTTGAGTCTGTCTCCTTTCTTGCTGACTCATGGCCTCTTTTAGAGAAAGCTACCGATGGCTCCCTGCAGAGCGAGGACTGGGCCCTCAACATGGAGATCTGTGACATCATCAACGAGACTGAAGAAGGGTAAGGGCTGCTGAGGGGCCAGGCCTGTGGAGACAGGGACATGCGCACCGGAGATACATGAACTGTGGCCCAGGTCAGCCCTGCCCTAGGTAAAGAGAAGCCCATGGACAGGAAGCTCAATCACAGCAGGCATGCAGCTGGCCCTGACCTGGGTGCTGCCACCGTGCGTGGCCTCTGCATGGCCAAAGCCAGCTGTGAAGGGGACAGAGAGGCAGATGGGGTGACCATGCTTTATCCTCAGTGCTGAGGGGCCCTGCCCAGTACGGGGGCACAGAGGCTAGGTCTTGGCTTTTTGTGTTTTACTGGTGTTTGCTGACCGGCTGTGTGATGGGACTTCAGACAAGTCCACCTGCCTCCGGGGGATCTGTCCTCAAAGAAAATCTCTGCTGGCTCCTTCAGAGCAGCCCCATTCTCCAAGATGAGAGAGAGAGGTGGTATGGACCATGGTCCTTCCAGGAAACCCCAGCAAGGGTGGACAGGGCACAAAGGTGCAGGTCAGTGTCATGTGGCAGGACACCCCAGAAATAGTAGCCAGGGAAGCTTCACAGGGGAGACAATCAGCTGGACCTCCCCCTAACCCCTACCAGACCTGAGAAGGAGGCAGCAGAGCATCTGGGTAAGTCTAGAACTCCATGCCTGCCTCCTGTGCTCCCTACTTCGGCTTGCAAAAGCAGTGCTGGGGCGGGGGTGTGCTGACCCTGGCTCCTGCTCCCTGAGCACAGGTCAGAGGAGGACAAGGCCCCTGCACTCACCACCTGGCAGGGCAGCAGGGTTCAGAACTACCAAGTATGGGAGAGCAGGCCGACACAAGTCCATGCCTCCTCCTCCTGGGCCTCCTGAGCTAGACCCCTAGCCTCTGGCACCACAGAGGAGGCTCCCTGTACCTTGCCTACTCTTCTTTTTCTGCCTTTGCCAGTCCCAAGGATGCCTTCCGAGCCTTGAAGAAGAGAATGGCAGGGAACAAGAACTTCCATGAGGTGATGCTGGCTTTGACGGTAAGTGCTGGTTATCTGTCTATCTCCTCTGTCCCAGTGGGAAGTCCACCTCCGCTGCTGCTGGACATGGTGGCAAGAGAGAAACTCCTGCCCCAGCATGGGAACAGACAACAAGGGCTGGGGGGCCAAAGGATCCAGCTGCCTGCAGGTTGGCAAGAGCTTAGAGACCCAGGCATCGTATGGTTTCAGTGGATACTCCCTAGCCCCTGGCACCCTGGAAAGCATGAAGCTAGGGGCAGGCACCTGCCCCAGCCTCCTCACAGCAGTAGTGGTGTCCACCAGGCCAGTGGGCTGGAAGGCAAAGTTGTTTCTTGCCAGCCTCTGGGAGGACTCCAGCCCTGGTCCACAACCCCGTGCATCTCCATGCAGTGCTCTGCTGGGAAAGCATGCTAGACACAGGGAGCTCGGGATCCCTTTCTCCTCCACAGGAGGATATGGGAGGAACCCTGATGGGGATGGGGTGTCGCACCCCCAGGTCCTGGAAACCTGTGTCAAGAACTGTGGACACCGCTTCCATGTGCTGGTGGCCAGCCAGGACTTCGTGGAGGGTGTGCTGGTGCGGACCATCCTGCCCAGGAACAACCCGCCCTCCGTTGTGCACGACAAGGTGCTGAGCCTCATCCAGGTGCGTCGCAAGGAGGCGAGGAGCGTGGCAGGTCCCACTGTGTCCACTGGCAGGTCCCCGACTGGGGTGTCCTGTGCAGTCTGTGGGCCATCAGTCTCCATGAGTGGGTGTACCGGGCACACAGAATGAGGGCTGGCTGACCAGGGAGGATGTCTCGGTGCACGGAGCAAGGGCTGGCTGCTGGCCGGGGAGGATGTCCATCTGGGTGTGTGGGCAGTCATCCAGGAAGAAACTATACAGTGGTCACTGGCCATATCCCTTGTCCCCTCTTAGTCCTGGGCTGACGCCTTCCGCAGCTCACCCGACCTGACAGGTGTGGTGGCCGTCTATGAGGACCTGAGGAGGAAGGGCCTGGAGTTCCCCATGACAGACCTGGACATGCTGTCACCCATCCACACACCCCAGAGGGTGAGCATCCCCTGCATGAGGACAGGAAGAATGGGGCCCAGGGGGCTTGTGCATGGTCCCACTGACCTGGGTCTTACCCTCAGACTGTGTTCACTTCGGAGACTCCACCAGGACAGAACTCTTTGGGCTCTGAAGCCAGACAGCAAGGAGATCCGAGCCAGTGCCCTGCTCTCATGCCTGCCTCCACCATATTGCCCAGTGACACGCCCATCACGCCAACCCCTGAGCAGGTAAAGCGACCATCTGCAAGGACACCAGGCCAGGGCAGTTCAGAGAGAGCCCTGTGGCCACAGGTTGTGTTACTCCTCCTATTGGAGACATGAGGCTCAGAGACTTGCAGTCACACAGCTTACCAGAGATGGCTGGGCTCCAAATGCAAGTCTTAACTCTTGGTGGGCATCCTGAAGCTGGCCGTCAGCTCAGCTGACTCATGTGGTGCCTGCCATGGAGGTCTGGTCTGTGACTAGGCTGTGGCCAACAAAAAGCAAAAACTGATTTTGTATTGCTCTGTGGTACCTCCCACAAAGCCACAGGGAAAGGCTTTGGGGCTGAGTTTCCCATGTGCCTTAGTTTCCCCTGCCTACCCTTGGCCATGAGCTGCCAAAGCTGCCTACATGTAGAGGCCCTCACTAGCTGGGTCATGGTCACTCCAAGTGCCATGCTGGGTTGTGGGTGTGGCCTGGCTCTGCAGTGTGATACCTGTGTTGGGGGTTTCATAGTGCAGGCCCTCATCAGTGAGTCCAAAGGCTCAGCTGCTAGGTGTGCTGGGGATGACCAATGCCTGCCCTCTGACAGGTGTCCCTGTTAGACACTGTGTGTGTTACTTGGACCTTACCCTCTCTTGGAAGAGGAACGTCTGAGTTTCACTACAGTAACAAGTGACCGCCCAAAGTTACAAATACGACTGAAGAAGTCTTGCTAACAGGACAAAATGATTAAAGTTGTTGACAGCCACAAAACCAGCTGGGCAAATGGTGCACATCTGTGATCCCAGGTGTGGGGGCTGGAGTTGAGGCAGAGGATCACAAGTTCAAGGCCACCCCAGGCAACTTGACAGAAAAGGGCTGGGAGTATAGCTCAGTGATAGAGCACTTGCCAAGCGGGGATGAGGCCTGGGTTTCTTCCTAGCACCACAAAAAAAGAACAGGTAGTGTAATACCATCTGGTAATCCCCAGCATTCCCTCCCTAGTTGTGATTTCACCCGGTTTGCCTAACCCAAGCATCTGTGTATACTTGACTGACATCCTCCATTCTGCAGTCTTCTTTGTCTCCTGAGACATATGCAAATGTTCCAGTGCTCCAAGACATAACTCTTGTGCTCCTCTGTGGCTGGGTGGCTTGCTTGGTGGAGTTGGGCTGGTGGTCAGGAGCTTCTTGACTCATGCAAGGTGGTGGTTAAGCAACCACCTTGCCAAGCATTACATGGGCGCAGGTGTCTGGGCAGGGGTGAATCTTCCTGGTCTCTGTGCTCCCTTTGTTTGCCTGTAAACACAGGTAATCAGATCTACCCTGAAAACTATTAAACAGCAATTTGTATGAAGTGCTTGGCAATGTTAAGTACCTAATCATAATTGTTGTCACACTCACGATAATTTTACATGGTGCAATCACACAGCACAGAATGTGCCAACACTTCCTAGCCTGTCATCCTATAACTGCTAGACCCATGAACTGTTCTACGGAGAAGGGTTCCAGTGGGTTTGGAACCCGTCATAAGAATCTTGTACATGCAGTACCCATGAGGTGCCACACATGCACCAAGGACCTACACAGTCCTCCTGAGGACTCTACACTGCACCACTGGCAGTGCAGGCCCAAGCCCAGGGACCTGGGTCCCTTTTCAGTCACTGGAACAAGTGTTGCTTCTGAGTCTTGCACTCAGGTGGTAGTCAGGTCGGGCCAGGACTCGGCCTAAAATGGCCCTGTGGCAGTAACACAGAATAGGAGCCAGACAGAATAGGAGCCCCAGGCCCTGGAGGAGAAGACTTCGTTCCCACCTCCCAGTCCCAGAAGGAAAGCACAGAGCCCCAGCCCTCCTGCACAGAGTGTAGCCTCCCTCCAGGGCCTCATTAGCAGCAGCAGCAGCACTGAATCCCAGAGGAGAGGCCTCGCCCTTCCAGCCATACCCATAGGTCACTCCTTCCCTGAGCTGGTTTCCTGCACTGATTCTGGGTTTGGCTGGGTTGGAGATGGCAGCGGTGGGTGGCATCCATCTGGGGGTGGCCTGGGCTCTATCCCTCCATGGCCTCTCACCTCCCTACCTGCCTTTCAGATCGGGAAGTTGCGCAGCGAGCTGGAGCTGGTAAGCGGGAATGTGCGCGTCATGTCAGAGATGCTGACAGAGCTGGTACCCACCCAGGTAGAGCCCGCTGACCTGGAACTCCTGCAGGTGAGCAGGCACCCTCCCCAGTCTTCCCAGACCTTCTGGGCTCCAGAGATGGCCATTCAGATGCAGGTCAGATTTCCTGCTTGTTCAGTGCCTCAGTTTCTATATCTGTAGAGTTGCCATGTTGGATCAGAGACAGTGGAGACTTTTTTTTGCAGAGGGATTAAGGTTTTATTTGTTTTTTTGTTTGAGATAGGGTCTCACTGTGTAGTTCAGGTTGGCCACAAACTTGCTTATGTAGCCCAGGCTGGCCTCAACTCTTCAGTGATCCTCCTGCCTCAACCTCCTGAGTGCTGAGATTACAGGTGTGTGCCACGATACCTGACAAAGGCAGTGTTTCATGTAAAACCCTTGGGTGGTGGCAGTCAGCTCCTGGGTCAGTCCTAGGAAGGCTGGGGTGATAGACACTGAGAGAACAGGGACGCTGTGGCTTTCCTTATATGTTCTGTAGCCTACCATCGTGTCCCCAGCTAGGGACCACTGCAGCAAAAGGGAGCGTGCTTGGGACCCCACCCACTGCATAGAGGTTAGTCCACATGGGCACCAGGAAGGCTGGGAACCCAAGCCTGGGAGCCCCAAGTCCGTGACAGGTGGCCAAGTGTGCCCAGCCGACACCATGTGCTCTTCACGTCCCTCCCTTTGTGTCCCTGCCAAGGCTTCTGTGAGCTGGCTGGGAGAAGGGGAGCAGACACAGGCCTGAGAAGGCTCCGCAGGGGCCCCTGCCATTTGGATGGCTTTCCCAGGCCCAGCCATGGCCCTGTGGCCATAAGCAATCTAGGGTTCAGAATTGTCAGCTCCTGTGCAGTGGCTCCCTGCACACTGGCTCTGCGCACACAGCTGTGCTCCAGGGGAAACTGAGGACAGGCCTGACTGCCTGCAGGTGGGCAGCAGAACTGGGCTTTGAACCGGATCTGGCTCCCAGTGCTGCTGTTGTAATTGCAGGGCTGGTGAGGACACTGGCCCAAAGCCCCTGTGGGTGTGGTCATGGTCACAGTGTGAGGAAGGCGGCAGCAGTGACAGAGTAAGCCCTAGGTCCCAGCCAAGGTGGCTGCTGAGGCCGGGCTGCTCTTGGTGCTGCCGGTGGGCCCTGGTAGCGGAGGGAAGTGGCAGCCAGTCTCCAGGCACCCAGGAGGCTGCAGTGCACACTCTCCTTCCCAGGCAGGCTTCCACCTGCCACTAAGCAATTGCAGTCAGTCAGTGGCGTGGTGGCAAAGGCAGTGGAGCCAGGACAGAAGGAGGGCAGCAGAGGAGAAGGAGAGCAAGTAAGATACTGCAGTCTTAGTTTTGAGACCTCAGGTTCGGTGAAGGGTACAGAAACTCAGTGCTGTCTTTGCAGCTTTTTTGAAAAGCTAAGATTATTCCAAAATGGACAGTTTACTTAGAAATTTATCAGTGAACTGAGTATGGCAGCCATGCCTATAATTCCAGCACTCAGGAGGCTGAGGCAGAAGGATAACTGTGAGCTTGAGGCCAGCCCAGGCTATATATCGAGACCCTTTCCCAAAAAAGAAAAAGAAATCTGTCACTGATAATAACTGGACAGTTACTCATAATGAGACTATCTAGGCCCAGGCTCGAGCCCTCAGTGATTCTGTGTTCACCAAAAGGAAGTGGAGAACTTAGCAGCCTCCTCGTACAGAGAGACAGTGGAAAAGCCAGCTGAGGCCTGCACTCAGCCCAGTCAGCATGTTGAGATTTCCTATTTTAATCTTTGGGTATGACAAGGAATGATGGGATGTGCCAGCAACCCAGCCCTTGTGAGGCTGAGGCAGGAGGCCCACTTGAGCCTAGGCACAGAAGGACTGTCTGAGTAACACAGCAAGACCCCATCTCCAAATTAATTCCCTGAACTCATATCACTGTAGAATGCTTAGAAGTGAAATTGATATTCATGTGGTAGAGTCCCAAACCCTTTCCATGGAAGCCCAGTTGGAGGACCGCCCCATCCCAAGCAAGCCCAGGGCCATTGCCAACCCAGGTATCACTCCCTGTCCCATAGGAGCTGCACCGGACATGCCGCGCCATGCAGCAGCGGGTCCTGGAGCTAATCCCACGCATCTCCAACGAGCAGCTGACGGAGGAGCTGCTCATGGTCAATGACAACCTCAACAACGTCTTCCTGCGCCACGAGCGGTAAGCCCCATCCCTGTCCCCTGAGCCTCCTGTGCCCCAGGCTCCTCCCTCTAAGACACCAGGCAGGCCACTTGGGTCGTGTGCCCTTGGTGCCTGCCCAGAACCAGAGCTGGCCTTGTAGCTGCACAGATCCTGCCTCTCAGGAGTGAGGTGTGTACTGTCACATGACAGGGGCATGCATGTGGGTGTACATGTGGGGGCCCATGTATGTATCAGACCTGCAGTTTGGGAAGCTGGGTGTTGGAGTCTGCCCTGATGGGCATCTTCTGTCTTAACAGATTTGAACGGTTCCGGACGGGCCAGACCACCAAGGTAAAGGGCATGTGACTCTGCCTGGCTGTGCTGTGGGGCAAGAGAGTGGCAATGTCTCCCGACTTCTGTCATAGCGAAGGGGAAATGGTGCAGCCACCAGTAGGTGCCCCAGGGCCCTGCACCTCAGGTGCAGCTGACTCCCTGGGTGGAGAGAAAGCAGTAGGGGGGTCTGCACTTGGAGGGAGGGAGGGCTGTAAGCAGTAACAGTATCCACTTCTGCTAGGCCCCCAGGGAGGTGGATCCAGCAGCTGACCTGATCAACATGGGCTCCAACCCCATGGCCACCGGCAGCCTGGAATCCCAGCTGGCCAGAACAAGTAAGGATGGCAACCTTGCCCTCGGGGACCCAGGCTGAGCCTTGTGCAGTTGGGTACTGCTTGTGAGTCCTTGGGTCTCACAGAGCCCCTGCTCCTCTGCAGATACCTGGAGACCGAGTTCTCTGGGTGACCATGTGGCGGGGCCTGAGCTAGCAACTTGCTCTCACTGTGCCTCCCAGTTCCTACACAGCAGAGGACCTGGCTAGCTAACCCTAGCCTGGGCTGAGACCTACCCCTGCCACTCCTCTCAGCATTAGCGGCTGTCCTCTGTCTCACTGGGATTGGTTGTAATGTTATCCACGCCCGTGGACATTATTTGGCCTTTTGACATTATTAGTTGAGTTACTGCAGCTACACTTTTCCCTTCTGCAGTAGCGGGATTTGCACTGATATCCTCAGTTCTTTTATGTTGTGACAGAGTTTCACTAAATTACGGCATTGCCCAGGCCGAGTTTGAATTTGTGATCCTCCTGCCTCAGACGCACAGAGTGCGGGGATTATAGGCATGCACTGCCACCCCCAGCTAGATACTCCACTTCTTGACAAGTTATATGTAGTTGCTGTTGTATTCAGTCTGTGCCCATCTGCAGAAGATGCTATATAGCATGTTTCTTGTCCCCTGACTCTCAGGACCCAGGAGGGTAGCTGTCCCCCTCCTCAGAAGTTCCTGCAACACCAAATCCTGAGCCCAGCAGGAGGACACTGGGACAGCAGGCAGTCTATCACTGGCCCTTCTATCCTTGCAGACCTGGGCTCCAACAGCATGCAGGCTGGGCTGCAATCCTTGGAGGCTTCAGAGTGCCTGGAGGACGAGTTTGACATGTTTGCGCTGACCCGAGGCAGCTCTCTAGCTGACCAACGGAAAGAGTGAGTGGCCTGACCTGCCCAGTTCCCTGTGAGAGAAGTGCTGATCCCATGCCTGGCTGGGTGTAGCCCCTCTACCAGTTGGGCATGACCCCAGAGCCCTCTGGTCAGGGCACACCACACATACCCCTGACACTTCAGACAGTCAGTGGGGCCAAGCAGACCGAGAGCCTGGTCACTGCCCCGGGCAGGTGGCTGGCATCTGGCAGCTCTGCGTTAGGAGCTGGAGGCTACTTGATTTCAAAACATGGCATCTCCAGAGTTCTTGTCCCCACTGTCCTGTCCAGGCTACACCAAGCCCCCAGCGTCAGGGACAATGACTAGGAAACCTTCCATAGTCCCTCCCAACATCAGGGGCATCCTTGTGCTCTCTGTCCCCGAGCTGAGACTGCCCTTGTCAGGATCAGGCTTCCACATGCCTGGGCAGGGGAACCCTGCACTTGTTCCTCTTGTCCCCTGCTGACAACCCTAGGACTGATTCCTACAGCAAGGGATGCTGTAGAATAGATGGAGGATCCTCCTCACCACTCCCGTGGCCCCTTAGTGTCACTCTGGTTGTTTGGGGACTGCCTGCATTGATGCACTGACAGAGCTGAATGCTCTGCTGTACCTGCCCACCCAGATGAAGTCTCATCTGCCAGACTCAAGGGCGTGGTGTGAGCTGCCCTCCTCTTCCCTGAACAGTCTACTGCCAGGCCAGGGCTTGGGATCCAGGAAGCCCCATTGCCAGGGAGTTCAGGTTGCTGCTGAGGCTATAGTGCAGCTAGAGGCTGATGAGTCCTCTGGGAGGTGTGATGGGGCATGGCCTGTCCTTGTGGGTGCTGGGGCAGCACTGGTTGCATACAGTCTGGAGGGCAGGCTGGTGCATGCCATCCCCATGTATATATTAGGCTGGACCCCACGTGGGAGTCAGGAGTTGGGGGGGGGGTGTACCTGCCCCACACAGATGCCTGCATAGGGAGCGAAGGGGCCGAGGCCGGGAGGACAGCTGGCATCCTCCTGAGAGTAGGAGCCACCTTTGGAGGAAGGCTTCCTCCAAAATTGGCATCTGGCTCCTGGGGTGCCTGCCCAGCCTTGACACTATCCCACCCCTTGCCACCACACCCCGGCTGTGGCTGAATCCAGGATGCACTTGAATAGTGTGGCCCAGGTAGGAATCAGTCCTAGGGTTGTCAGCAGGGGACAAGAGGAACAAGTGCAGGGTTCCCCTGCCCAGGCACGTGGAAGCCCCCAGCTGGAAGCCTGATCCTGAAAGGGGCAGCCACCTGGTCTCAGCCATGGAGATGGCCTGACCCAGGGACTGTGTGCAGGGTGGGACAGCAGTTCAGAGGTACACAGCCTTCCAAGTCAGGCTTTGAAGCTTCTGAGTGGTTCTCAATGGATCCACATTCCCCTGGGACAGTGGGATGGCCACACACTTGCTTGGCTTGCAGACCTCCAGGATGGGCATAATGTCCACCTTCGGCCTTGCTCCCCCACCAGCCCTCGACATGCAGATGGCTCTGCCCTGCTCAGCAGCCCACTTGTCAAACTGGGAGCCAGTAACAGGTGACATCCATCATGTTCACAGCATGGGGTAACAGCTGTGCTCCTGCCTGGCTACCTGGGGATGTGTGGTGTCCTCATGGAACCCTAGTGAGAGCTTCTTGCACCCTGGGGAATGCACTGTGTGGCTCCACCCCTGACTGCCGGCCTTCCTCTTCTCCACACTGCCCTGTAGCCATTCAGAGCAAGAACAGGGTTTTGCTAGCACTGGGCTAGGTCCCACTGCAGGGCGGGCGGACAGATACCTGGGCCCCAGTGACTTGTATGCTACACTCTGGATGGTCTCCTGCTGCCCAAGTCAGCCTCCACCTGCATACACCACCTTCCCTACCTGTCAGCAGCCAAAGGCCAGCCCCACCTCCCACCTGTGGCTCTCTCCTCGGGACATCCCTGAAGAGGGGCCATGGACCAGAATCTCTCCCCCAAGTGCAGCTCCTGCAGAGCACAGTTGTAACATCTCAGCTGGGGATGGGGCAGCAAGGGTCCCCAGAGCCATCTGCATGAGGATGTGGCCACTGAGTACTCTCTTGAGTCCCTCTGCCTGCCCAAATCTGGTCACAACCATTGGCAGTCTGGTGCCTGTTTCCAACCAAGTCCTCTCCAGATGCTCGTAGCCTTTGCTGGTGTCTATCCTACTATTGTGTGCCAGGCCCAGTTCCCGGCACCAGAGCTGGCCCTTGTGTGCAGGCCTGGCCAGTAGGAGTGCTGGACTGAGCCTATCCCACTCCGGGTTCTCGCCCTACCTCTGCCCTGCATCCCCAGTCTAGCTTGCTTTGCAAGAGCAGCACCTGATAGCTACATGGCCTCTGTGTTTCAGGGTCAAATATGAAGCCCCCCAGGCAACAGATGGACTGGCTGGGGCCCTGGATGCACGGCAGCAAAGCACCGGAGCAGTAAGCAGAGTACCACATTTCCCTAGGGGACACCAGGGGAAGGCGGGGCTCAAGTCAGACCTGGGATTCGCCATCCGGCAGAGCACCCAAGACTTCTCCTGAGCCACTGGAGCCGCTCAGAGGAAGGCACTTGAGGGCACATGGCTTTCAGGTGTGACGGGTCAGGGGCCAGCTCTTCTGGCTCCCACACCACCACAAAGCAAACCACAGGGGCACAGGTGTGCACAGCTACAGGTGCATGTGAGCACACGCATACAGCTCCACCTGCACACCTGAGTACCCCCATAACACCACCTGTACATGGACACGCCCGCCTGGCTCTACCTGCACACAGACACACTTGTGTGGCTCCATTTGCACACAAAGGCACACAGAACTCTACTTACACATGTGTGTGCTCATATAACCCCCTGCAGACACACATGCACACATGGAGCCAGGACCTAGGGTATACCCGCTGCTTCCCTGGCTGCTGAAAGTGTTGCCTGCCTGGTGCTAGGGAGCAGGCCGTGTCCTTTCCAGCCCTGGTCCACATGGAAAAGGACCCACTATCTTCCCATAGGGTTGCAGGTGCCCTCTACATCTTGCTCTGCCCTCACCTCACCACTGTGCTGGGTACCAATGCAGAAGCCATCAGGGAAGGAGGCCTAGCCTTGCCCAAGAGGCAGCCATCATGACAGAGGCCATGTCTCTGGGGAGCCTGCTGCTGGGGCCACCCCACCTTGCCACCCGGAGGAGACACTGGTCCTTGCTTGGAGCCCCTTGGAGACCTCAGCCCCCACCCATCTCTGCCTGAGCTGTGCACCCTCACATACAGCCAAGCCCCACAGTCAGAATGGAGTCTGAGGTCTGCATCCCAGCAGTACAAGTACAGGGCTTCTGCAGGAGGAGGGGCACTGACCTCTTGCTTCACCCTGTCTTCCTCCAGATCCCTGCTACCCAGGCCAGCCTCATGGAGGACATTGAGCAGTGGCTATCCACGGACGTGGTGAGTCAGGCATATTCTTGTCCATCTGGGAATGAGCTGCTAGGAGGCCAGACTGGCTCATCCCTGCACATAGCACACTGCCTGTGAGCTGCTTGCCACTCTGAGACACTGTGGCTGGTTGTGTCCCATCAGAAGCCAGGTGGCTGCTCTGTGGGCGCTGTCCCCTCTGGGAGGAGACGGCAGGAGGTGCCTGGAGACAGGTGCTGCAGGATAGGCAGCCCCCAGACCTAGCCTCAGGGAAAAGGGCACGGCAGGGTCTAAGGGGTTCTCCGAGGCCCCTGCCCCAGCTCTAGCACCACAGCCGTGGGGGGGGGGGCTCGCCTCTGTAGGGCCACACCAGGATTGAGGGTGCACTGGGGCCCATGAGTCAGGTCCAGCCTTCACATGGTAAAGGAAGGACCAGCTGAGGCTTGAGGGTATCAGAATGCACAGCTCAGAAAGGGGCCAGGTCCGGCCATCCGGGGTCAACCTTACATAGTGTCAGCCCTAGTTCAGTTGCCTGAGCCCTGCGTCAGTCCCATGAGAACCATCACCCTGAGCTGCAGCCATTCCTTCTGCGTTCTAGGGAAACAATGCAGAGGAGTCCACCGGGGGTGTCACCAGCGAAGGTAGTGACCAGTCTGTCTGCCCACCCCACCCCGGCCCTGGCCCCAGCCCACCACCGTCTTTCCCCTCAGAGTTCGACAAGTTCCTGGAAGAACGGGCCAGAGCTGCCGACCGGCTGCCCAGCCTTGCCAGCCCCTCGGTGCCAGGGCCCCCTGCAGGTGTGGCCCCAGGCAAGAAAGCCCAGGGGAAGGAAGAGGACTCGCTGTTTACCCTGTGAGCTGGCAGGCTGCTGAGGGGTTGGGCTGTGCAAGGAACTTGGGGGCCCACCACTCCTGCCTCCTCTCCATCCCAACCCAAGACTGCTGAGAACTGGAGGCTTCTGGGGGCTACCCCCCCCCAGCCTGGTCCAAGGAAGCCACATTTGATACAAAGCTTCTCGTGGTGCCCCCATGGCAGGAGGCCTCCAGGATGCCAGGCTGCTCCTGCCACTGCCCTCACCCCTCTCCTAGGGGTTCCCGCTGCCCACCGAGCCTTGGAGGCAGAGTCTCTCAGACATGGACAGGTGCCTTTTGTACCCTAAATAAAAGTAGAAAGCCATCCGCCAGCAGGGGTAGGCTGTGGCTGGTAAGGAAAGCCAATTTCCCAGCTGATCACATCCTATTACTGCCCTCTCTAGTCTTGGGGTACCAGCCTTCTGAGTCAACTGTGCCTAAGACTCTGGAGCCATAGCTGGGGTGGTGGTAAGCCCCCAGGTGTGAAGACCAGGGCTGCCCAGGCCCCCAGGTGAGACCTGGGCTGCAGGCAGTTGTGACAGAGGCCCCGGTGGCCCAGGTGGTGACGCATCAGTGCTGGGGCCAACCCACCCATAGCCAGGCCAGGTGCATACCCAGCCTCGCCCTTCAGCCCTGCCCCTTCACCCCTTATCACAGCCCCATTCTGTCTGTTGTTTGATAACAGGGAAAATGAGGTTTAGGCAGGGGCCAAACTGGCCACTCCTTGTGTCATGAAAGAGCAAGTGTGAGTTCCCAAGAGCCCTGAGACTGTCCTTGTGCCGTGGCTCTGCCTGGGACAGATGAGGCCAGAGGGTGTTCCAGGAGGGGCCCAGAGTCCCCAGATTGTCATGACCACTACAGTACCCCAGCTGTGTTCCCAGACTAGTTACCTGACCATTCTGTGCCTTGGTTTCCTGTGTGTGAAGTGGACTGCTCCTGGCCTCAGCCTCCAGGGTCCTGGAGGTTGTGAGAGGCCTGGGCGGCAGCTGCAGAACAGCCTGAGAGCTGTCCCTCTGGCGCCCACTGCTCCAGCACGCCCATGTCCCTAGTGACCATAAGGTGGCAGCAGCGATGGCAAGTGCGGAGCCGGTTTCCCACCCAGCCTCCAGCGGCCCCATCCCCTCTGCGCTCCACACTCTGCCAGACTCCCAAGCTGGATGGGGTGGGGTTCCGAGAGCTTGGGGACCACATGTTCCTTGGGAGGGCTCCTTCCTCCAGACATAAGTGGATGCCTAGCCGCTTGTCTTTGCCTATGTCCCCAGCATCCAAGTTCCCCGGGCTGGGCTCGTACTTTTTTTTTTTTTTTTTTTTTTTTGCTGTGAAAGGCTTTATTTTCTTTTGGTCCAAGATTTGGGAGGAGACTCTAAAGAAGTGAAAAAATTGCCTAGTGGCTGGAGGGAGAGGGTCCAGCCAAAGCCCTGATGCCAGTGATGCAGGAGCGCCTCAAAGACTGTCAGGCTCTTGGGCCTCCTAGTCGTGCTTAAGGGTGAGCCTTTCAAAGAGGTACTCATCCAGCCCAGCCTGGGGACCGTCCAGCCTGCGGAGGTTAGGAGGTTAGAGAGGTGGTCACCTATCTTATTGATGAGCTTCACTTCCTCATCTAGGAAGTGGTTCTCCAGAAAATCACAGACATGGGGGTCTGTCTTGGCAGAGCCCAAGGCATTAAGATCCAGAAGAGCTTGGTTCAGGCTCTTCTCCAGAGTCAGGACACTTCCATAGCATCCAAGGTTTTACCCCACTCATCCTTAGAAGGCTTCTGCATGTCCTAGAAGAGCGCACGGCCACCGCGCTGGTTTTGCATTTTCAGGAGATGCTCGGTGGCTGGGCTCATACTTGTGACTCCCCTCCCTCAGCCTCCCTGAGTACTGATGCTGGCTTGCTGCTCCTCTCACCCTCCTTCAGGCTCCCATAGGCTGCCCTGATTGACACCCCCCACAACTGGAAGCAAGGTCTGTGCCCTGCCATCCACATGCATACCCAGTGCCCACACAGTCCTGGACCTGGCACCTCCCATAACCCCCATCCTGGACACTCATGGGTGAGGCCCAGATGGGCCTGGCCTGCAAGGGAGACTCCCCACTGTGTGTCCTTTGACCTCAGTTTCTCTCCAGTGCCTGAGAGCTCTGCCCTCCAAGGTCCTGATGGTAGGGCCTCTAAACAGCTCTGGGGACACAGCAGGTGGTCAGTCCCCACAGTCTGCTCAGGGGGTTGTGGACAGGAGGAACAGTGGAGAGAGTCCCCACAGCTGCTGCCATGGCTTGGGGTGACAACAGATCTCTGTGCCCCAAACCCAGGCAAGTTACATGCACCCCCAGAATCTGTACAGAGGTGGGAACCAGAACTGGGGTGCCCAACCAGGGCACCCTCTGGTTTGGGGCTACACACCACTAGGCAGCATGCAGCCACCTTCTGGCACACTCCTCAGTTTGGCCAAGCCTTTACCAACTCAGCCTCGGTTTCCTTGGTCCCTCAACTCTACCATGGTGGCCACTGGGCCCCTGACCTCCACATCCTCCCATCTGGAAAAGAGTAAAATGCAAGTGAAATGGCATCAAAAAGAGAAAGAGAGAAATAGCATCTCCAGACAGAACAGGGGCTGAGAGGCCATGCCAGGAGCACTCTGCTTCCAGCACCCACAGCCTGGAGCAAGTTAGCACTGCTTAACTGCACAGAACATTAGTTAGCTCTGAACCAGTACCACTCCACCCACAGAGGAGAAGCCTGGGGCCAGAGCTCAGGCCGGCAGCCAGGCCCCTCACTGTCCCCCAAACTGCTGACAGCTCAGGCCTCTGCATCACCCCCAGTAAGGGGAAAGTCCTGGCTGCTCTACTACCCTAGCTGTCTGTGGCATCCGATCCTGTGACCCCCTTTTCCAGTGGCAGAGTAAACTGCCCATGGTACAGAGGCTGGGCCCAACTCAGCCCCACCCTGTGCCTGAGCCCACCTTCCCAGCCTGCCACACCACACGGGACAAGACCAAATGCTTCTTGGGTCTCAAGTGGGCACCCTGCACCCACAGAGGTCACGACCTGTCCCAGTACACCCCAGCAGATCATGAGCAGGTTCAGAGTGGAGAAAGGAGAAGTGGTTGGGCTTGTCCTGGCCTCCACAGACCTCAGTTTCCCCAACAGTGCTGGGTAGAGGTGGGCCATCTCCAAGGTCCAGGGCAGACTGTGACAGGAGCTGTGCAGTCCCCATGCTCACCTGTCTGGTCCCCAGGGCAGGGCAGGACCTTTTGTAGGTCAGCAGTCATGGAATTGCCAACCATCACTTCATTTACTTTTTCTTCTTCTTTTTTTTTTTTTTTGGTACTGGGAATCCAACTCAGGACCTTGTGCTTACCGGGCAGGCATTGTGTCACTGAGCTATATCCCCAAACCCTGAACTTTTAAGTTTTAAAATAACACTTTTAAAATTTTTTAGACAGGCCCTTGCTATGGAGTTGAGTAGGTCCATGAACTCACCATGTAGGCCAGGCAGGTCTTGAACTCATGAAAATCCTCCTAGCTCAGCCTCCCAGGTGCTGGGATTACAGGTATGTGCTACTACTCTTGACTAAAAATAACATTTATAACCTACAGCTATGCCAGAGACATAGCAGACATAGCACAGTGCCTGCCTGGCAAGCTCAAGATAGTGAGTTTGATCCCAGTACAAAAAAAAAAAATGTAGTTATGAAATTAAGGCATGAGCCATTGTCCAACATTTAAACCAATAACCCCTAAACCAAGAGACAGCTCTGCTGACACTTCAGGTGTCCCTCAGGTAGAGCCACTGGCATTGTGGTCCTACCTCTTAACACAGCTTTTCTTTAGTCGACATGTTTCCCCAGATTACTAAAAGCTCTTGGTGGACATTTCAGAAGTGCTGTCCGGGAATCTACTGAAGGATCATTTCTCTGCACAGTGCTTTGGCTTTTCTGTCACCCTGGAAATACTTTATTTTTTTAGTTTTTTGAGACAGCATCTCTCTGTGTAGTCCAGGCTAGCCTTGAACTCACTGTGTAGCCCAGGGTAGGCTTGAACTGTGGAGATCCACCTAACTCAGCCCTGAGTGGTGGGATTACAGGTCCCAGTATCACTTTTCTGTCTGTGCCCCGCCTTTTGTTGGCATGGACTTTCCCGAGCACAGCTTCCCACAATCTTCAGTAAATGCTGCTACCAGCTGTGCCATGACAACCCTTTGCTCACCTTACAGCGCCCGGGGCTACGCTCTCCCATTACTGGGTGACAGGGCTGCGAAGGTTGGATGGCGGTTTTGGACAGGCTGGGGTGCAGCTCAGAGCTCTGGCCACACACACCTGGGACCCTCACTCCTCCAGCACCACAGGAGAAAGTGAAAAGGTGTCTGCTTCGGGGCTGCTCCGTGAGAAGTGACAGGGCCAGGATATAATACACGTGGTAACAGAGGACGTCACAAAGCAGAAGCAGAGTCTTCGGGGTTTTTATTCATGCTGGTGCTGGGGACTGACCCCAAGCCCCTCTACCCCGGACTACATTCCCACATGGGGACACTGGGCCTCAGAGGTGACCCTGTGTGCTCATCGAGATGCGGGCCACGGTACCATCAGGCAGGCAGCTGCTACCTTGCTGTGTGCAGAAGGCCTAGAGACCACCCCACTCGGGATCCCCTGACCCGCCCCATCTCCGTGCCTTCCAGGCGGCCCGTCCCCCCTCGGAGGAGCCATATGCAGTGCAGGATGGGCCAGACAGCGCCCCCTGCCTGTCTCTAGCCCTGGGCAGCTGCAGCTGAGGGGCCTCGCCTTCCTGCTGAGTCACGGTCAGTCCGCACCTGCTGAGTCACGGTTGTCCACCCCGCTGAGTCAGTCTAACCCAGGAAGTGGGGCCTGCTGACGTGTGGGGCCACACGTCGCGTGTTGCCAGGCCACGGCTGCGGCCCAGCCCAGCCCCACTCCCGCTCTAGGGAGCTGGAGAGCCGAGCCAGCTACAGGTCTGTATCAGTCCTCCAAGCTCCTCTGAGCCTTTGCAGTTGCTTTAAACAGAAGTTCACTTTTCCTTAGTGAACAGTAAAGATGAGGACCCTGAGGTTCCCAAATCCTGGTGGAGAGTAAGGCTCCAGGTTCATCAGATGTCAGGGCGACCCTACCCCCACCCCGGAGCCCCAGAGAGGGCTCCACAGGAAGTTGGCAGGGTCCGGAAGGGGAACTAGGGATCAGCCCGGCACAGAGCTGTCACCAGCCTGCCGTCCCTGCACTGTGTCCCCAGCCCATCCTGTTTTTAATTCTCCTTTTGTCAAATGAGGAAACAACCGTGGGGGTTCGGGGTGCACAGCTGGTCAGGCTGCAGCCAGCACTGCAAGGTGGAACTTGAACAGATTTTTTCCTTCAAAGCTAAGTGGCTGCCAGC